CCCCACCCTCTCCCTTTCTCCTTCCCTCCCTCCTTAAAATCAGTCACTCATTCAATAATAAAAAATAATAATAATTGAGGGAAAGTTACTTATTATAGCTCATCATCCTAACAAAATTGCTTTTTATTTATTATTAACATTATTTCAAAAATATTTGAATTTCTTTTTTTTTTTTTTTTTTAATCTTTATTGATTTCAGAGAGAGGAAAGGAGAGGAAGAGAGAGAGATAAAAACATCAATGAGAGAGTCATTGATTGGCTGCCTCCTGCACGCCCCCAACTGGGGATGAAGCCCACAATCCAGACATGTGCCCTGAACNTCTAAATTATTGTGTTTACACTGTATTTCTTTGGGCTCCTTTCAGAGCATGGAATACCTACATCGGTTGACTTTATAGGCTGTGATCCAGCTCATATGGTGACCTCTTTCAACACTGGTAGTACAGTAATTTATGATTTAGAAACATCACAGTCATTGGTGGTGCTTTCATCACAAATAGATTCTGGTAAGTTTTCATGGGTTTCTTTGAAACCTTAAAAAGGATTACTATACAATAAAGGGTGATTTTTAATTTTCATATTTTGACTATTTGAATTTAGGATGGAAAAATAGTTTCATTGTGTTATAGTTTAACTTATTTACATTATTTTTATTTCCTCAAATTATGCTTAAAAGCTGGGTGGGCATTTGAGGACAATAGACTGAGTAAAGCAGTGTAAAAGTGAAAGCAAGGGAAATAGTTTTAAATTTTTAATGGAAATACATATGGAAATAGAGAAAAATAATATAATGAGCCTCATGGACTCATCATGCGGCCTCAATAATTATGTATAAATGACCAATGTAAGTATAGGATGTGATGTGTGTTTTACGATTTATTTAAGTAGGAATCCAAATAAGACCCTGTATTCTGATTGGCTGATAGGTCTTTTAAGTCTCTTCATCTGTAGGTTCCCCCTCCGTCTCTTATTTCCCTTTCATTTTTTAAAGTTTATTTTATTTTAATTACGGTTTATATTCAATATTATTTTGTATTAGTTTCAGTGGTTAGACAATCATGTACTTTACAAAGCTGTCCCCCCAATACTTCAAGTATCCACCTGGCACCATACATAGTTATTACAGTATTGACTATGTTTCCTATGCTGTATTTCCTTGCATTTTTTAATTTGAAGAAATTGAGTAGTTTGCCTATAGAGTTTTCCACAGTCTGGATTTTGCTAGTTGCATCCTTGAGGTATCATTTAACAAGCTCCTCTGTTCATTTTATTTTCTATAAATTGGTAATAGATCTAGAGGCTTATTCAGGTCCAGTGTTTTTATTTGTCTTCATTTTAAAGTTTTTAATGTTTTTGGCACGACTACTTCATAGTATTTTGTGAACTTTTATCAGAAGTAAATATCATCTAGTTAACTTTTTCTTATGTTTTCAGTCTTGATCGTTACTTAGGTCAGTTAATTCATTAATTGTTTAAAAATTATTTTCTAATTCTGTCATTCTCCATTTATTATCTAGAATACTTCTGTAAAAAGGAACATTTCTCATTAATAATTTGCATTCTCTGGAGTTAGGTTATAAAGGAAAGACAAGATAAATTACTCATTTTTTCCCCCTTTATTTACCAGCTTTCACAATAATAATAATGAGGTGTTACCATTAGCATTCTCCATAGGTGATCAGAGAGTCTGTTGGGTGTTGTTTGTTTTTATTATCATTATAGTCTCAATTGGATATTAATGTATTTGATGTGTTTCAATCTATTGCAGGTATTATTTTTATTGCTACTCAGATTATTTCATCTTTGGCCAATGGAAATTTATTCAAGTAGGCTCCTGAGTCCTTTTGACATGATCCTGGTAGTTGTTGATAGTTTTCCATTCTGATATGATGAGATGTTCTAGGGTCATCAGTTCATTTGTGCCCCAGATCTGAAATCAGCCATTGCTCTAAGGGGAGCCAATGGTTTCTCTTAGTGGAAAAAGGCATTTAGAGCCTACAAGTCTAGGTACTAGGCTATTTGGTTCATCCTCATGGTTTTCATGGCTCTTGAGTTGGTCATTGGTTTAGGCTTTTTCAGTGGTCAAAGCTACATTAAAAAAAAAAAAAAAAGTTGATAAATTCATACAAATACTTCTAATTGAAAATCAGATTTATCTCATTGATTTTTATGTCTTTACCTCATTTTAACCATACCAAATCTCTTTGTTCTCAGCAAAATCATCATAATCTCTCATTTATCCCATAGTACACATACAGTCATCTCAATAATAATACCCAAACCACCACCAATAGTTTGATTACTGAAACTTAGGGATGGGCAGTCTATTATTATACTTTCAAATCACTTGAAATAGCTCATTTATTTGTGCTTCTACCACCAATTGGATATATAGTTAGGTTCATTTGTTTAACACTACTTTTGGTTTCTCGTGATTGCTTTTTTAAAAATCATTTTATAATTATGTAAAACATTTAAATACTCGAAATGTCTTTCCCAGTGCCTTTTCAACCTTAGTTTCTCTCTCCCTCTTACATAAGTAATTACACACACACACACACACTCACACACACACACACACATATATATATGTGGTTTTTTAGGTAATGTGTTTTAAGTTTAGTTAAGAGGTCTTATATACATGTGGAATGATTGATTTACTTAAAGCCTAATAATATTGATGATGTTTTCCCATTTGTTTTGATTCTTCTTTGTTCTCCTCCATTGCTAAACAAAAATTAGGAGCTTGTCAGTAAAGAAAATGTCTCATTCCTAAGAACATTGATTCTGGTTCTTTGGTTTTTTGTTAGTTAGTATGGGTAGGATGGGGATTGTTCCTTGCAAACGTCTTAATTATCACTTACGAATTTGTTTCCTTACATGCTTATAATTCTTTTATGGGCTACTTATTAAAAGTAGTAATTATTATAAGTTTTTTAAAGAATTTTATACCACCTACATTGAAGTACTTAACAATTTTTTCTAAACTTGAGCCTGGCACTTTCCATATTATAGGACATGATAACTTAAACATTTATTTTTTAAGAAATTATATCTCTCTGGAGCTCTAGTTTTATTTCTCAGACTGTTTAGTTTTATACCAAAGCTTGGTTTTTTATTTTTGGGTAGGAATAAGGAGGTCATCATCCAGCTTCTAACTAAAGGTTCGAATTTTAGTACATTATCTTTCTTTATTTTTCAGATTTACAATCCAATAATCACATTAACAGAGTAGTAAGTCATCCCACACTTCCTGTTACAATAACTGCTCATGAAGACAGACACATCAAATTTTTTGACAATAAAACGGGTAAGTGTCTTATTTTCAGTTGTATTAATAATTCTATGAATTTGAGGTGATCAAAAATGTGATTCTTTTATATAAAATATATTGACTTTTGGCTTCAAAATTGCCAAGTTAAACCATTTTAACTCAGATTTTTGCTTTAGTTATGTAGCACACTCATATGTTGTTTTATTTATCCTTAAGTTTATAAATAATACCTTGCCTACCTATATGGTTTTTTCATGTCTTATTAGTTAAATATAAATCCTTCTATTTAAAATTATTTTATTCATATTCGGTTGTAATTTAGTATAGCAGAAGTGGTGTCTTTCTGGGGTTTGGCATTTCAAATATGTTCTTAAAATTATTTCTCAGTGGATGAAATGATATAGTAAATACTGTTTTATTGTCATCTTCCCTGTGTTTCTTATTGTCAGAAAACTGTTTATATAGAAGTCAAATCACATATTAATGTGGCCATAGGATTGTTTAAGGACCCTTGCTTCATCTGTAATTACCTGAATACTACATAAAATATTGTTTGCTTTCTTTCAGGAAAGGTCTTACAGCTAGAGAGGCTTCTTTGAAAGGAAGCTAACCCCAGGGGTACTGAGGGAATTCCAAATCAGAAACTTAAATTTCACTTGTAACATTATTGCAGGGCAACAAATTCTCAAGCAAGATAGCAAATTAAAAGGCAGATTTCTCTTTGAAGGTTATATAGGACATGGTCATATTTTTAATCTTTAGAGTCTTTCTTAAATCCCTTTGTTCAAGCAAGACTTCATATACAGATTCCTTTTAACTCAGTAGAACAGTTGAGAAAGTAATGGATATTCATAGGACTATATATTTCACAGGAAAGGCTATTCATATTCATGTGAATGTTCTCAATTTAACAACTTATTAACAGTTCTTTAAATGTTTTCTGAAACCTAAAGATCTTCCTCTGCTGCAAGAGAAGAGATCATTTCTTTACTGTATTTCTAAAAATACTTCTATTTTTATTAATTATTGCAGATTTAGATTTGTAAGGGAAAGTTCAGGAATTTTAGTAGTTGTATTAGAAGCAAAGTGTGAGTCTCTAGAGCTGTTCACTGACAGAAATCAAGAAAAAGTGATAATAAAATTTCACTTAGCAAATAAGGAGCCTATAGCCTTTCAAATTATTTATAAATTTTACTAATTTATTTTATTTCTTTTAACTAGTCTAGTGCCTTATCTTTAGTGTGAAGAAATTGAAGCAGTAGCCTCCATCAGTGGAAAAATTCTTTTCAAGTCAGCCTCTCTCTCTCACTCTCACAGGCACACACACATACAACACTGAGTTAAAGTCATTGAATTTTTTTTTAATCTGAAACAGACATCAGTACTATGAATGGGTTCAATAAATATTTAAATTTTAACAACAGAAACATATTTAGCATTTTGTATTCTGCACTGCACTGACTACTGTCATTTATAAGATGGGGTTTCTGCTTTCTGGGGACTTTCTGTTGTCTGGGGAAAATAGGATGTATGTATGTATGTGTGCATGCCCAGGAGCTCTGCTAGATAAAGGAGTTTTCATAGAGTGAGGACTTGAGCTTTGCCTTGAAGCAGTGGTAAGATAAAATTTTTTAAGTGAAGGAAGTAGTAGGCAATTTCAGGCAAGGGTGTATTTTGATCAGAGGCGTGGTGGTAGAAACTTTGGCCAACAAGGGAGTTTTTTATAGGCAAAGCCAGAGAGGTAACTTTTGAGGAGGAAAACAGAGTCTATTGAGTACTTTTCAGAGCCACGCTAAGAAGAACGAATTTTTGTTTATGCTATGCACTGTGAAAGCCACTTAAAATATTTGAGCAGGGGTTTACAAAATTGGTTTAGAAAGATTATTTAAGTTGTATTATATGGTAGATCCTTGACTTTAAAGAATTTAAAATTTACAATTTCTATTATTTGTTCCAGATAGATCTTTGGGAGTCAGGATTTTTAAAATTTTGATAGAGGTACAAATTAGCGTTGCATACACTGTGCTGACACACTTAGCTAGTGAGTCTGAGAGAAGATGTAGTACAAATGAGGGGTGTGGTGGAGAAGTTGGAAGAAGATCCTGAATTGGTTGTGAACACATGCAGCATAATTTATTGATTCTCTGCCATATTCTTTGCACAGTTCTTCTCAGTGCTTGTTAAACAAAACAAAGCTTCCTATCTTCTTGGAGCTTAATGGTATATTACTTACTGTAAGTGAGACATTGTTCTCTTTGATTTACACATTAACATGGTTACTCTTCTAATGACTGTTAGGTATATATAATACTATTATTTCCATTTTACAGTTAAAATAAAAGGCTTAAAAGAAGTTAAATAATTTGTGCAGTGTTACACAACAGAGGAAAATTGCAGGGTTGGGATTCAAATCCATGCAGTTTCCTTCTAGAGTCTGCATGTTTTACATTAGTCTGTTTCTTCTCCATTTCAGAGAGACCCACAATACTGATTGCCCAAGTCAAAGGGCTTAGGGGCCAGGGAGGGGAGAACAGGTGGCTGTTATAAGAGGAAAGAATTAATCTTGGTGGAGGAAGAGGCACAGGGCCAAGGTGAAATAGGTTAAATGTGAGAAATTACAAGTAAGTGTTACTGAAGGGGAGTGGTCAGAAGCTTTGTGACTTCTGTGGTTACCAGTGGAAGCCCAGGAGGCAGCCTTGGTTCAGCATGGCACCTCTCTATACATGTTTCAGTCTGAAGGGGGAGGGGGTCGCTCACATTTTGGAGTCACTATATGGAAAAGAAGGGTTGACTTTAAATTGACTTAACATATCAATAAAAGTTAGTTTAATGCAAAGGTAGGAGAATTGGAGTTAAACTTGGAAAATTTTCTCACCCTTAAAGAAATGGGTAGATCAGCTATTTATTTGAAAGAATTCTTTGGTTGAAGACACCTTAAATTTAGGACATACAGGGTTATTCTCAGGAGGGAAGTCAGAACTAGATTGTGAATTAAGAGTTACCATCATAGAACTGACATTTTAAAGTAAGCTAATGGTGCTTGTTACTTAACCCCTAATGTTTTGAGACTATTGTCCTTGGAGGCCAGCCATTTCACACTTAGGATTTTATTTGTTTGTTTTTAATAGGGATACTGAGAGGAATGGATTCTAGAATTGATAGATGAATTACTTTGGACTAGGCAATTAAAGATAAAGATAGTGTGTTGAATGATCTTTCTGTTAAAATAATCTCAAATTACTCTGTTAGTGTTAATGAAGAATAGACAAGTGTGGTTTAAAATGATGAGAAACTTTGTCTCCACTTGATAAGTGTTTTAGCATTGCCAGAAGGTGATAGGACTTTTTATGTTTTTCAGAGAAACTTTCGCACACTTGATTATGTTCTGGTTTTGTGTTCAGGTCAACAGCTATGGCCTCATGACAAATAATAAAAAGTAGATCTATGCCATGTTCTAGTGTGGAATGTCGTCAGGACTAGAAGCGTAGCAAATGGTTGTAACCAGAATTTGGAGAGGGCCTCCATGTCTCATTAGGAGCAGCCCAGGCATTCGAGTAATGCTCATTGATGAATAAAAGGAGAGGAAAATTTAAAAGTACCAGTATTTGCTATTTTATTCTCGCCTTGGATAAATCAATTTATGGTGTTGCTTTCCATTCATCAAAAGCTTGTATTGCCATTACAGAGGCTGAGGCCCTTGCCTCAAAGTATTTGTGCAGCACAACTTTGTATTCACAACTTGTTTTTTAATTTCAACTTGAATCCTGTTTGCTTGCCAAATCTTCAGTTAAGGTATTCAATAAATTACATTTTCCAGAAGAGTGTTTTTGTTACTATCTGGGGAAATTTGGAATCATTTCTCAGATGTACTCCCATCCCCTCCTCTTTCTTGTTTCTAATATATAAAACGACTGACATTTCAAAAGATAAATGAATTTGATGATACTAGAATCATTAGATAGGAATGTATTCTCTGGTGATTTATTTATCATTAAACCTGTATATAAAATAATCTTTACACCTCTCTTAATGAGAAAGATTTTTTTCTATTTTCATTTTAATGCCAGGTTCCGTAATTTTAAGTCTTTGATGCAACCCTATATTCATTATGTTTTCTACTGTCTACCAGATACTGTCAAATTCATGTAACACAAATGTCTTTATTAAAAGTACTGGGAAAGTTCTGCATTAGAATTAAAATTCTCTTTAAAATATTATAGTGGATGAACCTTGAAAACATTATACTAAGTGACAGAAGGCAGACACAAAAAGCCACATGTTATATGATTTATTTGTATGAAGCATCCAGAAATAGTCCAAGCTATAGAGAGAAAAAGTAGACTAATGGTTACCAGGGGCTTGGAAGAGAAGAGAAATGGGGAATGGCTGCTTAATGGGTATGGGGTTTCCTTTTGTAATGATGAAAATGTTCTGAACTAGATAGTGGTGATGGTTGCACATCATTGAGAATGTTCTAAAAGCCACTTAATTGCACCCTCTCATATAGTTAAAAATGGTAACTTTTATGTTAGGTATGTTTTACCACAATAAAAAAAATGCCATAGTGATTATCTCTTTTATGTTCATGATATTTTATGATTTATAAAGTATCAAGTTAGTAAATATTTGTGAAAACTTAATCATCTTTGTTATGTTTTATTTAGGTAAAATGATCCATTCTATGGTAGCTCATTTGGATGCTGTTACAAGTCTAGCAGTAGATCCTAATGGAATCTATTTGATGTCTGGAAGTAAGTCTGAATTTCCTGTACTGCACACAAACTTTATAAAAGAATTGTTACTCAATAACACTTTCTTTGTTCTTTTACAGGCCATGACTGTTCTATTAGATTGTGGAATTTGGACAGCAAGACATGTGTGCAAGAAATAACAGCACATAGAAAGAAATTAGATGAATCAATATATGATGTTGCTTTCCATCCATCAAAAGCATACATTGCTAGTGCAGGGGCTGATGCTCTCGCCAAAGTATTTGTGTGAATCAACAGATACTCGCATCATAACAACAGATTTGCTTGGACAGAAAGAGGGTCTGCATCACTGCCATCAGAAACGGTTACTGATAAGACACTACATGTGATCTGCCTGGTGAAGGCTATTTAGGGCAGGCATAAATTGGTGGAAATCACATCTTAATGTCAGGTTCATTAATTTAATTGTAATTACTGTATTTTGTGGGACAAAAAAAAAAAAGAACTCCAGTATTTGTGGCCTGTACTGGATACAAACTGAGCATATGTCTGTTTTTTAGATATCTTTAAGCCAATGTGGAGTCTGATCTTACAAAAGGACTTTTATTTTGGACTCTGTGTGCTGCCTTAGGGTTAGGGATGTGGTGCTCTTGTTGGGGGGAAGTGAGCTCCAAGAGTAGTTTTTTTTCATCTCTTAGTGATCTTCCGTTTATCAGTTGAATGCCACAGATTCCCTTTTAAACTTATTTTGCTTTAAAAAAAAAAAGAAGAAGAAAATTTAACTTAAAATATTTTAGCATTAGTTGCACAAAATGTTTGGATAAAATTCTAGTTTTTATAAGTCTTTTTTATATATTTAGCCTGTCACAACAGTGCTCAAGATTGTATTGAAATTTTTCTGCATTATACAACCCTAAAACACAGAGATCTCACTGACCCGCTGCCGTGTAACCACACTCTTTCTTTTGCCTAATACAGCTCAGCTAAGTCCTTCCATAAGATGCTAAATCACCTTCATCATCACATAATTGTCTTCATAAACCAAGGACTGTTAAGTGTACTAAAATGAAACAGTGGGGTTTTATACTCCAAATGAACTCTTAAAAAAAAACAAAACTAACTAATCTTGGCATCCTATCACTATGTGATATTTTGTACATCTTACTGTATTTACAAGTTTATTTATCAAGGATTATCCATCTTGCTAATGGCTTATTATTTATTTCACTTTTTGTTCTTTATATCCTTTTATTAATGTGCTAAAGGAACCTGTATATCTATTTTGGAACTCTTTGAATAGTCTAAAATAGACTAAAAATGGAATATTTTATAGTTTAAGTTACATACCAAGGTGATTCTCCCCAGATACATATCTTGGTTTGCCATGATTCCAAACAAAACTGTCTTGTTTAAAAATATTTGGAGTAAAATATTATTTGCATTACAAATAGGATACAAAATAGTTGAATCAGGATACAGAAATCTGCTGTGTTTGGACTAGTTATCCCTATTTTATTTTTTCAAATGTGCTTAATTTTATGGTGTAACTAAAGATTTCGTTTGTGTAATGCATGATTAAGACAATAAAATATTTTTTCTAGTCTTCCAAAAACTTTTCTGATCAGTTTGCGAGTTTTGATGAGTTTTGTAAGGTTTTTGTTTTACAAACGATGAATCAGCAAATTTTTAAGATTGTACCACATAGCAAACGTACAGCTGTTGAAAAATAATGTATATAAAATGCAATATAATAAATATTAAATTGTGTACCTGTATGTCACTGTTGGCTACCTTATTTTGTGTTGAATAATAAAGTGCAATACTTTACTCTCCATCATTAAAACTAGGAAATGGAGATTATTTCCTCAGTGAGTCCTTCATTTTTGTTTACTGCTTATTGATATTCTAATAAGATTAGAACAGTTATCACTATTAAGAATGCCTTGCTAAGTATTTCATCCCATTTGGGGATAATAAAATCTTCTGTTGAAATAAGTTACATAATTCAAAAAGAACAGAAAAAGAAGGGAAAAAAGACAGGAGATGCAGTTTTAAATCATTTCCTTCACATCATATTACTTTATGAAATCTGAATCCAGTTAGTGTTGTCACTCCTATCTAGCCATACATGTTTCCACAAAATGTTCAGCAGAAAGTAAACTGCATTATTCATTGATTAAAGGTGCTTATAAATAATGTGAAGTAGTACTCTCTCAAAACTTTTCCTTCAACAAGGTAGTATCCTTTTTCTTTGAAGGTAATTGCAAATGGAATTAGAAGGTAACATTAGAAAACTTACATGGCAGAATTTTATTTAAATGCCTACTGCAAAAAAAAAATTACATTGTATGTATTTTGAGAAATTTTGTCATCTAGCATAAAAATCCAAGTGGCAGTTTTAGGTTGTTACTGATAAAATAATAAAACTTCAGAAATTTTTTTCAAATGTCAGTTATATAGCTTTCTGAACTGAAGATTCAACTTAATAAAGGGGCACTTTTAAAAAAAGAACAAGCTTTTCAAAAGCTACTAGCATTTCTGGCAAGTTATTTTAAACCAACGCATTACCATATAACTGAAATGTGGTTATTGCAATGCATAAGCATTCACCTCTTTTGGAATGTATTAAATAAATAAAAATTAGTATATATGTTTATTTTTCTACTTTGGTTGTATTTTTCTGTACAATATTAAACATTTGGAAAAAGACTAAGGATACAAAAAGAATGTTTTTATTTTATAAGTGTGCTTCCATCTGTGACTTACGGGAAATTATATAGATTCGTTTGATTATTAAATGGTACTTTATACATAAAATTTAAGAATATGTGCAGACTTCAGTATGTTGACTTTTTCAATATTTAATAATATTTTGCCTTTTTCATATTGTAATTACTTGTGTACATTTCTCATATTTCAAAGTAAGTTATCCACTGAAGAGCTTTTCAAAATCCTTTTACTCTTTATTCCTTTTTAGTTAATTCTTTATCTTGATTATGTTTACTTATAAAAAATGATAGCAACTTGATAAAGTACTCATTTCCACTCTCCTGCTGCTAAGTCAGTGAAAATATTAGCTTCCCTGGTTACCTCATACCTCAAAACTTTGTCCTTTATAGAACTAAGGAAAAGCATTTTTATTGTTTTTAACTATTTATTTTTAAATATGTTTTTATTGATTTCAGAGCGAGTAAGGGAGAGGGAGAGAGAGAGAGAAAAGAAACATCAATGATGAGAGAATCCTCGACCGGCTGCCTCCTGCACGCCCCCTGCACTGAGGATCCACGCAACCCGGGCACGGGCCCTGACTGGGAATTGAACTGTGACCCCCGGGTTCATAGGCTGATGCTCAACCAGTGAGCCACGCCCACTGGGCAGATACAGCATGTTTAAAGGGCTACAGACTAGAGGCCAGGTTTTCGCTTAAGCTTAAATATTTAAGGAGTAGTGCTCTTGGCTAAGAATTTGTGCTTTATGTATTGGGAGAAAATCATGTTGTTAAACCCATTTTAGTTACATGAGAATCTTGTTACATGAATTCATATTGGCCACATTTTATAAGGTGGGGAGGTTTATTGTCTTCCCATACTCCATTTTAATCACATTTTTATCTAGTGTCAAAAGCAATTTCAGTTATGTCTCTTCAGAACATAATCTTTTCATTCCTTTTCCACAAACTAAAATTGTTAAACTCAAAAAATTAACTGGGCTATATACACACACACACACACACACATGCACACAATTCCAACCAACTAACACCATTTTGGGGTCAGCTGGTTGTAAACCATTCAGATAGGATCAGTGAGTGACCGGAGATACGGTGCATGGTGGGATGAGGGAGAGAAGAGGTCCTGTCTGTAGAGAAGATGGGCAGGATGGATGCCTCTCTACCTGAGGACAGAGTTCTTGGTGAGGCATGATCATTTAATATTCTTGGGATTCTGGTCACTTCTTAGGAACCAACTTCACAAGCACGTTTAAGTAAAATGGATGTTAATTATAAAACATTTTTGTTGAACCAAGTAATCAAAAGTGTCTCGCATGATTTTTAAAAAAATTTCACTTGGTCTTTCTGCATGAATTACCGAAGAGAATTTTTGCCATGCCCTAGGGAGAAACACTTAGAAATATAAAAGGCAGCTTAAATAATCACTACCAGTTTTATTGCTAAAATATAGTCAAACTATAATACTTTTCCTACAGTTCTGTTATTTGAGATGAGCTTTTCTTTAAAGCTATATGCTTAAGGTATAAATGGTAGGTAAAAATTTACCAACTTAACATTTGTACATGGATGACTTTTAGAGTACAAGCCATATATATCTATACACATAAAAATTAAGGATTATATAAATAGAAAAATACAAGGCAGCCCTGCTGTCTTGTTCAATGTGACCTTTCAGTGGTAACTTACTATGAAAATACAAAATAAACTTGATACCCAGTTCTCTTCCATTTCATCGGTGATCATAACTTTTTAGTATGCTGAATGACAACTATTACTGGTCAGAAGAAAACATCTACTTGGGTCAAGATGTTTATATTTGAACTAAAAAACTTCTATTTAAGTTTCTCCATCTTGCTTAAATATTTAATACAGAATGATAAAAGGAATGTTGCTTTTGGTCTAAGTATCAGATTCTTTTATTGAGCCTTGGCATTTTCATATCTATACATTTAATATGCATGTTAGAATAGAACTCTTAAGATTTTAATCCACATTATACCCCTTTTCCTGAGTTTCTAAGGGTCATGGTTATGAAGCCTCAGCAGAGTGAACAATTAAATCCAAGTTATAATTCGAAGCTAGTAGCTTTGAATGCTTAGTTGCTTAAAACAGCTGTTGGCACTTAATACAGTTTTGTATCTGATCCTAGTATGCTCTATAGTATTTCAGTATTACAAGAATTATATTCTCTTGCACTTTTTCTTTCAGTTGTCACAATGTCATCATTATTGCTGGGATTCTAAGAAATCTCTACAAATGCCCCTGATGACATCAGAAACAATTGGTTCTAATCCTGTGAACTCCCTTGTGAAGAAAGCGTGTGACTCCTTTGGTTTCGAGGCCATATCTCTCAGGTCATCCAGAGGTGCCCACGCCACACCAACAGAGAAGATGGTGATACCTACAATGGAAACATTTTTAAGTGGATTAAAACCAAGTTCCAGTTTACATGTAAAATTACAAGTATATACTTTTCCTACATTAGGACATAGTTGCAGAGAAAACTGCCTAGTAATGTCCGAAGAACTAAATCTCCTGTAGCAGATTGTTAGGTTTTAACAATGATTGTGATGAGAATGGCTGAACAGTTTGGTCAAAACCAGAGGCTTGGCTGTCAGTGTAATTAACCACATGAACAGGCAAATGATCACTGACAAAAAATTTTTGATGAAGTTTAATATCCATGATAGCTAGAAATTCTTAACCTGGTAAACTATCTTTACAAAAACCACCACCACCAAACCTACAGCAAACGTACTTAATGAAATGACGCAAACTCTCCCGCAGAGGTTGGAACGAGAAGGTGCTGCCTGCTGTGATCCCTTCACTTACCCATTAGACTGGAGTCGGGCCGTGCAGTCGAGCAAGAAAGAACGGGACAAGGGACCAGACAGTGGTGAACGTTCTGAGGCTGCACCGTCTGAGGGGATGGTGACTAGGCCTCTGAAGAATAACTCTTCCACTGCAGTCTTTTTATGTTACACTGGCAAACTGACCAATAGTCAGGAATTGTCAGCCTTTGATCCCAAAGCAAAAATCTAATCATGAAAATAACCAAAGAGAGCCCTGGAAAGGTAGCTAGGTCGGTTGGAGTGTCGTCCCTATACGCCAAGTTGTGGATTTGATCCCAGGTCAGGGCGCATTACAAGAATCAACCAAGGAACACATAAGTAAGTGGAACAAGTCGAGGTTTCTCTCACCCTCCCCCTCTAAAATCAAGAAGAAAAGCCAAAGAGAAATGTCTGAAGCTGCAAATTCCTGTTACTGAGGCATCCCATCCGCATTCCCTTGAACTGGAAGGCTTTTATTCCAACTACGTTTTGGTCAGGGTGCTATTCCATTAGTTTGAGTCACCTCAATCCCAGCTGTCAAAGCAGAGGTTTAGTAGATTCTTCATGTAGACTGCCATCTACCTTCTGGATGAAATTCCCCGTAACATTTTGGGAGTTTCTGAAATAGCTACTCCCCTCCTATCCATGGCTTCGCCCCCCTTCTAGTGGCTTACAGTGCTCAGAGTTGTGGATGCTTAGGATACAAATGAAGCAGGTTTAGATGATGTAAAAGCTACTTGAAACAATTCCTGACTTACCACCACCAGCCAGTTCCTCTCTGGCAAAAGTGTCAAAATTTTCCTCCCCCTTAGTTTTCCTCACTTAATTCTGCATTCAGGCCCAGGACAGAAATACAAAAATGGTTGTGACCTAGCCCAGAAAGTCTCCTGGCTTTCGTTAACTTTCACTGCAGTATCACTAAAGATAATTTTCATGAAAACTGTGGCCCAACCTCCTGAAGTTCAGTTAATCACAAAGGGAAAATATGTTTGAAATAATCTAGTTCACTTTAGCCTGAATCTAATCCTGTTAACCCATAACTTTGTTCAATATGCTACATTTTTAAGGGGTATGATAACATCTTCAATATAGGTTAGTTGCTGATGTATAAAATAAGCCAGATGTATAAAGAAGCCCATGTATCACTTAAATTGCATGTATTCGTTCTCCTTAATAAAACTATGCCATCAATACTTATAAAATACACAAATGCATTAGCAGAGGTGCTAATGTACAAAAAGAAAAAGGGAAACGGAGGTGTAGGAAAGGGCAGAAAACTGGGGGGCTAGCTCCCCCTCCCAAGCTAGCATGTTTGTTTTTTAAGTATTACTGGGCTCCAGTCATTCAGTTTCATCCCAGGAAAGGGAACCTCAGCTTTTTGTTGGCCTATTTGATCTCAGCAACACATTATGTTAATCTCTTCAGGAACTGGTGGCTTTTGCCAAAAGTAATATTAAGGTTGGGGTAAGAGAGAAAGAAAACCTTTTTATACTCATAACATCAGAGTGTGTTTTCATTATCAAGGAAAAAAAGGCACTTAAAGTTTAGATGAAAGAGAATTTAAATCTTCATGTGTGACCATATCACCTTAGGAAACTCATGCCAGGCTGAAAACTACTAAAAAAAGATAGGATACATTTCAAGTAGCTAATTCATAGTAAATTATGATACACTGTGATGGGGCGGGGGGG